TTTTCGGGTGGTGGAAATAATTTATGCAGATGAGATTAACCCTTCAACATATTCGTTCACAAATGCACTAAAAGGTAAATATTTTGTACAAATTGTTTACTGCAGGTTCTTTTTAAGTACTTTCTTGATCCGACTTCTCTTATTGTTTTATTTTTTTATTTATTTAATTTTATAATTTGTGTGCAGCATTACAAGCAAGAAGAGTGTATAGTAATACATGGGAATATGTATCAGCAGATAATGGAGGATTAACTCTGAATTCCAAATGGAATGATGCAGAAAAATACATATGCAATCCTGTGTCAGGACAAGTTCCTTTGCAATGCTTATCATCAAAAGCTCTAAGTGAAAGGTCATCTCAAAGCTTGGTAACAAGCAGAACTAAACAAGGTCCTCTTTTTCATATTTTCATTTTTATTATTTTGGAAAAACTAATCTGAAAAAGAGAATTAAGCAAATCCCTTCAACATACTCAAATAGACATGTGACTCTTAGTGAATGCAGAGAAGAAAAGAAGCACAACAAGAAATGTGGGCACCCAAATCAAATTCAGTTCTGAGAGTCCAATTCCATCTCAGATTCCTTCATGTGAAGAAATATCAGTGAAGCCAAGTGAACAAGAAGAAAGTAGAGAGTCACTTGTTACCTCCAAAATACAGAAATCAGAGGCTAAGGTACTAATAAAATTAATTTCCTCGATTTATTCACTCTCATTTGAATTAGGTAGATTCTAGTTGCACCGACTAATTTTGAATGTAAGGTATAAAATGACCCATTAAAGAAGTCTTAAAAGTACAAAGTTCCATCCATATTTTATATTAAGTGATGAAATGTTTATAGTGTTGGGAAAAATACGCTGAATTTTCCATGAAGTCGGATCTATAGAAGTGAAATAAAAAATAAAAATTTGACACACCAATTTGATAACGGAGTTCGGCCAATAATGCCTACGTCTCCAGACTACTGCAGATATTTTATTAGGAAGAAAAAAAACACTCGTATTTACAAAACACTCTCAACCTTACTCACATCTCACACAAAGACTAAATTATTTTTAGCTCACTCTTTTTTTTTTTTTTTCTTCTTGAATATTGTTGTATTTTTGGTGTGTGTCGTTCATCAAAACCCATCTCTACTTATAGAGTGGGGAGTGCACAATTTTTTCAACATTTGTGCACTCAATAATGTGAACAAATCAGCAGCCCTTTTGATCTTCCTTGGCTGCTATCAATTTTTCTTCTTTTGCTGATTGTCAAAGGGAATGGGCGCAGCCCTTTATTTTTGACTCAACAATCTCCCACTTGAGGACTGGTTTCAATTTGTCCTCACACATCAATTACTGCAGTAGTCTTCTCCGGTCTGTTATTCTAGCAGGCCAACTGAGTTGAGCACAACTTCAGTTTGTCAATGGTCACCACCTTCGTTAGCATATCTGTTGGGTTCTTGCTTCCTACAATCTTCTTCAAAGTCAACACTTCATCCTCAAGCAGAGATCTGATGAAATGATATCGTATATCAATGTGCTTAGTTCTAGAGTGAAACACCGAGTTCTTTGCCAGATGTATTGCACTCTGACTGTCACTATGCAAGACACTCCCTATTTGAGTGAAACTCAACTTTGCTAACAATCCTTGAAGCCATGTCAATTCTTTAATGGCTTCTGTCACTGCTACATACTCAGCCTCTGTAGTGGATAGAGCAACAATCTTTTGTATCCGCGACATCCAGCTAACAGCTGTAGCTCCGACAGTGAAAACATAACCGGTGGTACTTCTTCGGTGATCAACTTCACCTCCAAAGTCTGCATCTACGTAGCCTTGTAACTTTAGATCTCTTTTTCTAAAGTATAGACATTTTTCTGTTGTGCCCCGTAGATATCTCAAAATCCATTTGACTGCTTCCCAATGAGTTTTTCCTGATTTTGACATAAACCTGCTCACAACTCCCACTGCATGGCCAATGTCTGGCCTCGTACAGACCATCGCGTACATCAAACTTCCAATGGCTAAAGCATAAGGAATCTTAGCCATGAACTCTTCTTCTTCCTTTGTTTGAGGAGACTGATCCTTGGATAGACGAAAATGGCTGGCCAAAGGTGTACTGACTGGTTTGGCCTTGTCCATATTAAATCTCTGCAAGACACGGTTGATGTACTCTGCTTGAGATAACTGCAAAACTCTCTTTTTCTTATCTCTCGTGATTTGCATTCCAAGAATCTTCTTTGCTGGGCCTAAGTCCTTCATGTCAAATTCTTTTGACAACTGCATCTTCAATTTTCTGATGTCTTTCATATCTGATCCTGCTACTAACATGTCATCGACATAAAGTAGCAAGATGATATAGCTAGACTCATACTTCTTAAAGAAACAACAGTGATCAGCATTGCACTTCTGGAAACCTTCCTTGTGTATGAAGCTTTCAAACTTCCTATACCACTGTCTTTGAGCTTGTTTCAGGCCGTACAAGCTCTTCTTCAATTTACACACCATATCCTTCTTTCCTTCTGAAAAACCTTCAGGCTGGTGCATATAGATCTCCTCATCTAGGTCTCCGTGAAGAAAATTTGTCTTCACGTCTAATTGCTCTAGGTAGAGCTCTTCACTAGCCACAATACTTAACACCGTCCTGATAGTATTAAGCTTTACAACTAGAGCAAAGATTTCAGTATAGTCAACTCCTTCTTTCTGCTGAAATCCTTTGACAACCAGTCGGGGTTTGTATCTCCTGGAACCATCATCATGGTCTTCCTTCACTCGATACACCCATTTGTTGTGAAGTACTTTTTTTCCCATAGGTAACTTGACTAGTTCCCATGTCTAATTTGAGATCAAGGACTTCATCTCGTCCTTCATGGCAAACTCCCACTTGCCAGCATCTGTGGTTTGACAAGTTTCCATGTAATTTTCAGGCTCCCCTCTATCAGTCAGCAGCATGTAGTCCATGTATCTCCTACTAGACACATGGGGCCGAGAGGACCTTCTCAATACAGGAGTTGGAGTAGAAGGTTCTGATTGCACTTCACTTTCTTCATTTGATTCCTCTGACCAAGGACTCCTCATTATAGAACTATCTTGGATATCTTCCACATCTGCATAAATTGGCCCACTCGTTTCTGAGTTGCTGGCACCTGTATTATGCCGGTCCTTGTACATCACTCTTTCATTAAAGATGACATCTTTGCTGCGGATCATCTTTTTGTTTTCATCATCCCATATGCGGTAGTGAAACTCATCTTCACCATAACCAAGGAAGGTACACTTCTTTGATTTTGGATCAAGTTTGTTTCTACCATGATCACTGATGTGCATATATGCTACACACCCGAAAACTCTAAGATGTGAGAGTTTTGCTTCTTTTCCGCTCCATACCTCTTCTGGTAACTTGTGATCCAGTGGTACCGATGGACTTTGGTTGATCAAGTAAGTTGTTGTGTTGACTGCTTCTGCCCAGAACTGCTTTGGTAGGCCTGACTACACACGCAAACTTCTGGCTCTTTCAGTCAACGTTCGATTCATACGCTCAGCTACACCATTGTGTTGTGGCATACCAGGCACGATTCTCTCCATTCTGATCCCGTGCTCATAGAAAAACTTCTTGAATCTGGTGGTTACATATTCACCACCATTGTCGGATCTGAGCTTCTTGATCTTCAAGCCTGTCTCATTTTCCACCATAGCTTTCCAAATCTTGAAAGCTTCAAATACTTCTGACTTGTGTTTCAGAAAGTAAACTCATACCTTTCTGGAGTGATAATCGATAAAAGTCACGAAGTATTGCTTCCCACCAACTGATGGGACAGTCGTTGGACCCCATACATCAGAGTGGATGAGCTCAAGCTTCTCCTTCTTTGGAGTCCTTCTACTTGTTTGAAAGCTGACTCTCTTCTGCTTTCCAAGTATACAACCTTCACACATGTCAATTTATATTGACTGGAGGCTTGGTAATTTTCCTTTTGAGTGAATGATCTTAATCCCCTTTTAGATTGGGATTTTCATTTGCTGCAACTGCAATCAGATGACATGCTCCTGTTGTCTTGTAAAGAGTACCACTCTTTTTGCCTCGAGCAATTGTCATCGCACCCTTTGAAATCTTCCAATCATCACCATGGAAGATTGTCGTGTAGCCTTCACTGGCTAGCTGGCTACTGAGATTAAATTCTTCGTCAGGTCGGGAATATGTCTAACATTCTTCAATTCCCATACATAACCGCTCAGCTTGATTTTTATTGCACCTTTCCCTATAACCTCACATGATTGCTCATTACCAAGGTAAACTTTACCAAGGTTACCAGGAACATAATTCTCGAATAGTTCCTTCTGTGAGGTAGCATGAAAGGATGCTCCAGAGTCTAACACCCAAGACTCTTCTCTGTTCTCCAAAGAACATATCAGCATATCTCCTCTTGAGCCTGAAGCAATATTTGCCTCTTCTTTTGCCTCCTGATTCTTCGGTGAACTCCTGCACTGGTTTCTGTAGTGCCCGGTCTTTCCACAATTCCAGCACTCGATTGACTTCGAGTTTTGGGAACTATGATGATTTCTAGACTTGGATCCTTTTCCCTTTGATTTGTTGTGTTTACTTTCTTTAGTTGAACTTCTTCCTTTTGACTCTGTATGCAATACAGAAGAGGTCGAGGGTTCACCCGACTCTCTCCGCCGGATCTCTTCACTGAGAACCAAATTTTGGACATCATCAAATCTCAACTTATTGCTTCCCGATGAGCTACTCACAGCCGTGACTGTAGCGTTCCAACTTTTTGGTAGGGAAGACAAAAGTATTAAACCTCGTACTTCATCATCGAACTCGATCTCAACTGAACTCAACTGGGTTGTGACGGTGTTGAGCTCATTGAGATGATGACCGAAGGTTGAACAATCGCCTCATCAAATGAACTTTATTTGAGGCTGATGGTTTCTCGTGCATGTTGGAAAGAGCCTTCATGAGGCCTGCTGTCGTCTTTTCTTTTGCAATGTTAAAAGCAACATTACGGGATAACGTCAGCCGAATGGCTCCAAGAGCTTGTCTGTCAAGGAGACTCCATTCTTCCTCCTTCATGTCCTCTGGCTTCTTTCCTGTGAGTGGTTGATATATATTCTTCTGGTACATATAATCCTCGATCTGCATCTTCCAGAAGCCAAAGTCCGCACCGTCGAACTTTTTTATTTTCATTTTTCCTTCGTCTGCAGCCATCACTTCGACTCTGATCTGACTTCTCTGCCGGATCGTTTCTGTAATTTTTGTGAACTACCGTGTTTCAGAACACGTCGGTAGATAAATTTGTAGCACTGACAAATTTGACACTATTCACGGAATAGTAACCCACACAAAAAAATTACAGAATTAACAATCTGGCTCTGATACCAGTTGTTGGGAAAAATACGCTGAATTTTCTATGAAGTCGAATCTATAAAAGTGAAATAAAAAATAAAAATTTGACACACCAATTTGATAATGGAGTTTGACCAATAATGCCTACGTCTCCGAACTACTGCAGATATTTTATTAGAAAAAAAAAACACTCGTTTTTACAAAACACTCTCAACCTTACTCACAACTCACAACTCAAAAATACACACAAAGACTAAATTATTTTTAGCTTACTCTCTCTTTTTTATTTTTTTCTTGAATATTGTTGTATTTTTGGTGTGTGTTTCGTTCATCAAAACCCATCTCTATTTATAGAGTGGGGAGTGCACAATTTTTTCAACATTTGTGCACTCAATAATGTGAACAAATCAGCAGCCCTTTTGATCTTCCTTGGCTGCTATCAAAATTTCTTCTTTTGCTGATTGTCAAAGGGAATGGGCGCAGCCCTTTATTTTTGACTCAACATATAGCTTGTGCAGAAGGTAGATGAGAAAGAAACAGAAGACAAAAGAAACGAGAAGAAAAAGAGAGAGAACACGTGCTGCCATGGAGGAAAAGAAAAAGGATGCTTATCATTCATCAACGTTTGGCGCCACAAAATAAGGAACCAAAACAATAATGCAAACTTGTCCATTTTTCTTTGCCATGTTAATGCTTCCTCTCATCAATAATGATATTCATGCATATGCATATGTATGGCAATATACATGTGTGTGTTTCATGTGATCAATCAAATGTTGGGGGAAAAACAAAACAATCCTCATTTAGTTACATTTTTTAATATAAGGTGTGTACCTCGTATACCAATTAACATTATTTTGTTACATGCATGTGATATTATTAGAGCTCATGTAATTATAAAATTAAACGATGTGCTATATGAAATGTATGGGTCGGGTAGTAAAGTGTGTAAGGTGTGTTCGAACAGCTAAATTAAAAGCGAAAGCAATATAAAAACAAATAGTATGTCTTTAGAGAGCGTCTCACTACTCCTCAGATCTCTTTCATTAATAGATCGGTTTGCATACAACGTACAACTGTAGGACTCCCTCATAATCTAACCAACACTATACCTGACTCTATCAACGCCACAACACCTGGACTTCGAAATAGCAATGGATCCCTCCCAACTACAAAAGTACTTAATCCCTAAGCATTTAAAATGATTGTAAAAAGAAAAAGAAAACCCAGTTCTTCTAAGAATATTGAAAAACTGAACCGAATAGAAGAAAATAAAATGCTCACAAACATTTAATAAAGTATAATTCAATAAGTGCAACAACCCTTCAATGTGTCTTCGATCACATATATATACAAACTCCTCAATGGTAATTCCCATGCATTGACTCATTTCCATGTGAAGTTTATTTTCTTCCCAATGACTTTCTTCATAACTTGGACGTGATCTTCCTTCATTTATAGTAAGTTTCCTTCAAGCAAAATCTGTGTATGCGATTTACAAATCATCAGAATTCGATTTCGAAACAGTATTGAAACACGACTTTCTTAAAATAACCAATCTTCCAAATCTAAGATGATCTTGCGATAAATCTTTACAAACCCTCCTTAGATCTTGTTCAAAATATCCTGGATCCTTCATGTTTCGGTAACTCATTCTTTCTTAGTCATTATCACTTATTCCTTGTCCTACAAGAGAAAGAAAACGAATTATAGTATAGAATCAAACTCATTAATGCAAATGACATATATAGTAAGTAAATATATGTAAGATATATATTATGTAATCATTCTCTTAAAGGTTTAGCACTCCATAATACATACTATGATAAATATATACCATACATTATTAATAATAAACCACAACTAAATCGATCTTGTGATGCAAACACACCAGGGACAAAAATGATGGGACGGATCAATGATACAGTGCAACTCATATCTTTCCAAATTATGCACAGATAAATAAAAACTTTATTATTCAAAGTGTTTTTCACTTTGTAACAATCACTGCATTGGTGAAAGTTGACCCATTACTTTGCAACAATGTTATTAAGCAATACAAACAAACATGTGCAAAAACACTATTTTAAACAAATTGCGTTGTGTTTGTTATGAAGATGACCACCTTATACACCATGTTGGAACACCACACAATTTCATGCGATGTTTGTCAGTAGCTTTCACCCTTCACATCGTTTTCTATTTATGAAGCTCTTTTCACAGCCAATCCCGTAAGAAACAAGCCATGTGCTAGCTTTATAAATCATTGTGTGATGGTAGCTGTTTCTGATAGAAATAAAATGTCCCACATCATGGAAGAACACACAAACAACTTCAATTAATAAGATCTTACTGGATTATACAAAACATCCATCAAGACTTTATGGTGAAACTAAGGCAAAATCAGATTAATGCGATAATCTATATGCATATATGCAATACAAATAATATATATATATATATATATATATATTATATACAAATAATATATATATATATATATATTAATATACAATACAATATAATATAATTGCATGCAAGCAATCGAAGAACGCACATCCTTAAGGATTTCCTTGGAGAAATAAATCTTTTAGCATCCAACAAATCAAATAACTGGTCATGTGTTGGACATATTTATGAACAATTAATTCATCATCAACTAAATTTTTGTAAAGTGGTATCGCATGCTAGACGCTTAAGGGAATGTTGAACAAAATATTTGGAAACATTAGCTCTACAAGTAAGGTCAGAGAATATGTCAATGAGTTGTACCTGAATTCTAAATTCAAGAAAAATGTGCTTCATCCACACCCTTTGTGTTTCAGCACGAAATTCTGATTGGTGTAAGAACACCCATTAGACGTACTTCATTGATCAACGACATTCCCATCCCTTTCAGCATCACAATACCTAACAATATTGAACTCGTGTCACATGAGTCCAAAGTCGTATATTCAATCAAATAGCAATTATCATACGATCTAGACCTATACGAACACAATTATTATTCCTATCATAAACTAAACATTCATTCAAAGTGAAGCTCAGAGAAAAGCTTTGATCACATAACTGACTAACACTCAACAAATTGACATTCAAGTTCTCAACCAACAAAATATTTTCAAGTCTAATGGTGTTGAATTTACGATTTTTTGTTGTAACTAATATTTTTTAGGATGTGTGAATGACTTATGTAACTAAAATGAGTTTATTTCAATACAAGGCCTACTTCCTCGAGAATAGATGGCGTACACTCCATAAATTAAATAACACGAAAAATTAAATTATTTTTTCATAATTTTAAATAATAAGTTCATAAGAAATATTTAAACAGATATAAATTTGGATACGTAATATGAATGAATAAATTAGTTGATAAGATAATTGATATATAATCAAAATATTCAATTATGCATTTTGATTTATGTGAAAATACATTAAACTACACTAAAATACAATTAACTATTTTTTTATTACCGATTTAGTTGGTTTCACGACTTATCGTGGATGTGTTCAATTTGTCCAACCAACTTTTTTAGGGGAATTGAAACCGCCCAGTAATTTTTTCTTAGTCTAACCTATGCAACCATCTGAAGCAGCATCAGTGACAGTTTTTTACTCTTGGATCATCACACATTATTAATCTAGCGGTAAAAATTTAATGAGGGCAGTAGGGTTGAATTTTTCACAAAACAGTTCTATTCTCATAGCGAGGTTCGATAAATCATTGTTTTAGTAAATAATAAAGTATGACAAAATATGGTATAAAATATGTTAAATTTTCAGGACGAGAGGCAAAAAGATTATAACTTTGATTTGTAAAATTTACATAAGAATACTTATTCATTATTATTTTTTAAAATTTTTAAGTTTTGAGTAAAAAGTTTTTGCATATATATATATATATATATATATATATATATATTTNAAAATAATAGTGTTATTAATAAACCCCCTAATAATAATAATAATACTAATAATAATAAGAAGAAGAATAATAATGATAATAAGAATAATTAGATTTTGAGATATACATTTTTCTCATAAATTATACTCCCTCCTTTTTTTAATAATAAGTGTCATTTTGAGAAGTTGCACAGTAATTAAGAATATTTTTTTTGCCAATAATAACTCTCATTAATAAGGATAGAGATGGATGTTTTGAGAAAAATGAAGAGTGAATATGAAAAGACATAGTGTATTTATTAGCTAGATAAGGGTAATAATGGAAAAATATGTACAAAATATCCAAAACGTTATTTATTTGGTTAATTGTTGATAAAGCCAAAATGACATTTATTAAAAAAAGGAGGTAGTATTTTTCTATTTTTATTGAAATTCTTATATATAATTTATTAATTTTTATACGAATTATTCAGTTATACAATTAATCCAACGGTTGAATCGGTGATATGAAAGCCAACCAAGGTCATTGTCTATGCGGGTTTCAAAATAGTGATTTGTAGTGTAAAATAATACCTTTAGAATCATTCTTAAATTTTTGGAACTGACCTGTTAATTTATCGAGAAGAAGAAAAATGCCACCACGTATCTTTATTGCAACCAAAGTTGATCAACGTGAATGGTAGCAAAAATCTTTTGTTGATTTTGTGCATATTTAATGGTGAATGCAAACTCTATAATATTAAAGAAAATATAATGGTGTTGAATTTATAATTGTTTGTTGTAACTATTATTTCTTAGAGCATCTCCAATATGAGATGTTGACTTAATAAAATGTTAGCCACATCATCAAGTTATAAAGTGATTACAAAAATTACTCTCCAATCCATAATGTTATGGACTCTTTTATGCTGACATGGAAAAAATAAATATCCAAAGTGTGAAGCTCACTTTCTAGTTTTTCAAAGTGTGTTTGAAAGCCAACTCATAAAAAATCTAACTTATTTTAAGCTTTTGAAAGGGATGATGCATCGGAGATGTGCATTTCAAATTAAAGTCTTCTCTTTTGACATTTATATTACATGGATTTACATTCCATTCATCATTTGACATGTGTTCAAATTTAATTAATGTTGAAAGTGGAGCATTGGAGATGCTCTTAGGATGTGTGAATGAGATGTGTAACTAAAATGAGTTTATTACAATGTGATATGATTGTCTATGCGAGTTTCAAAATAATGATTTGTAGTGTAAAATAATACCTTTAGAATTTTTCTTAAATTTTTGGAAATTACCTGTTAATTCATTGAGAAGAAGAACAATGCCACCACCAAGGTTTTCAAAATCGAGATTCTAAGTAGAATTGTTTTGGGTGCAGAATCGGAATCGTAGAATCGAAATCTTAAAATCGTAAGATTCTACTCAAAACGTATAAAATTAATTATTTTTATAAGTTTTATGGTAATCATCAAGAATATGTATCAAATGCTAAAAAACCACCACTTGTTTTTCAAATATAAATGTTCAAATTTTAACACTCTGTGCGTTCAAACTTCAAAGTTAACACTTACAAATATATAGACAAATTAGAGAATCCAATGTTCAATATCACCAAAGTCCAAAAGGCAAATAGACCACAAATGTTTATGAATACCTGGACAATTAAAAACTAAATAATCATCATCCAAGTAATTATCCAAGTCTTCTGTCAGCCAATCATCCAAATTATCTTCAAAAAGGGACCAGATACAATCCATCATAGCATAAACTTCCTCATAGAAATAAAATGGACACACATATAACTAATTTAAAGATCAAATCAAATGTGCCATAATTCTCAGAAATTGTTGAAGTAAGGCTTTATAGATACAACAAAGAACAATCTTTAAGAGATCAGGTTGGATTAATAACCTTACCACAGCCTGCAGGTCTAATGAACAATTTGTTTGTTTGTCTTTTTCCTGTGAACCCTTTAATTCTTAGAGTCAGTGGGAAATGGAGGTAAAGACAAAATCAAAGGCCCGGAAGACTCTGACAACTGCAGCTAAAGCGTATGAGGCGCACCAAACAGCAGCCGCAAACAACAAGCTCATTGCATCATTGAAGCCCATAGATAAGTCCGACCAAGTAAAAACATTACTACGCCGCCTTAAATAATCGAAAATCAAGAATTAGATAGAGTGTACGACTGTCGGCCGGCGAGGGATGGAGGTGAAGAAGTCGCGATTCACGACGGAAGAGCAGAGGCCAGAGGGAATTACGGAAAAATGAAATTAGGGATTTTAGGATTTTTTTGGGTATTTTTTAATTTTTTTTAATTAATTTGTTTTGGATTGAGCCAAGGGAAGGGAATATTTATGCTTCTTTGAGCCAATTTGTGTAAAAAGAAAATAAAAAGAAACAGCCCAACTACCCAAATACAGCGCAATTTTAAAATCTGGTTCATTTTTTTGAGTTTTGCACAGAATCGGTCAAAGTCGTAGAATCGGTCTGATTATACGACTTTGACCGATTCTACCGATTCTGCAGTGACTCTACATTCCTTTGCGATTTTGAGCGACTTAGAAACGATTTTGTGACTTTGAGTCGTAGAATTGGCGATTCTACTACTCAAAGTCACGATTTTGATAACCTTGGCCACCACGTATCTTTATTGCAATCAAAGTTGATCAATGTGAATGATAGCAAAAATCTCTTGTTGATTTCCGCATATTTAATGGTGAGTGGAAACTCTATAATTGTAAAGAAAATATAATGGTGTTGAATTTATGATTTTTTGTTGTAACTATTATTTTTTAAAATGTGTGAGTGAGCTGTGTAATTAAAAGAGTTTATTACAGTGTGATATGAAAAAAAGATAAAACAAAAATTATTCAGTTATGCAATTAATCCAACGGTTGAATCGGTAATATGAAAGTCAACTAGGATCATTGTCTACGCGAGTTTCAAAACAGTGCTTTGTACGGTAAATTATTACCTTTAGAATCATTCTTAAACTTCTGGAAATGACTGTTTATTTGAAGAGTAAATAATCATTTTTTACTTTAATTATTATTTACTATTTGTCCATGATCTTAACCGGATTTTTAGGGAGCAACATTCATTGAGAAGAAGAACAATGTCACCACATATCTTTATTTCATTACAATATAAATAAATAAGAAAATAAAACATTTAAGAAAAAGCCGAGACGAAAATCAAATAGAAGAGATGACAAAGGCACGTCATCATCACGACTTGGATTTTGCAGTTGAGTGGCCAAAATTGATTCATTTCGTCCTTCCCTCCAATCGCACAACTTTTACACTCATCGTCCTTTCTCATCCACCGCACACACCCAAGCCAGCTTAGACGCGACGGAGATGAAATCTGCGGTGGCGGAGATGGCCGGAGGGCGAATAGTTCCCTTATCGCCGCCCCTCATTTCTTCTGGTTATACCTGCTGTTTGCTCCCTCTCAGGCGACTCTCACTTGCTTCTTCAGGGATGAGTGGGCCTAGCTTATGCAGTGCCTTTTCCGCCAGCAATCGAGCTCTGTTTCTATCCGAAACCCTGGTTGAATGTCAGGTCCCAAGACCTAGACTCGTCCGCGCAGCTGCCGAGTCAACTCAATCATCATCTGTTTCCCCCACTACTAGTGCCGACAAATTGATAGTTGCCGACAACGAGTTCTCCCTCGCCAAAGTAAGAACTTATTTTATTCATTATTTACTGTTTTTTCTTCTTTTTGAAGATTTTTTTAGTCCAATTCTGTTTGTCATACTTCATGCTCAACCTTTTAAAACCCGGTGGTATTTTTTAGTCAGCATATGATTAGAGGTGTCAATATGTCCCTGTCGGTTTCCAATCGACATATTAAATGATTCGTCATGATATTAGCTTTTAGCACACGATATCATGAAGCATCAAACGTAAATGTACTAACCCATTATTTTCAAGTCATGCTGTAGTATTCACTCCTACATAGGATCATGGATCTTCTACACAATGCCTTTTTCTTGTCCACTTTTCCGGTAATGATATTATTGCTTAAAGAAACAGAACAAGGTCACCTCAGCTCTTTAACATTGCAATGCAATGATAATGCTGATTTGGAGGAAATAGAGATAATATAGAAAATTTGTAGTTTCAATCATATGGTTTGTTGTCTTCACAATGTGGTTGTTTGAACATGTTCCAGTTTGTATGTTGTTGTCGTGATCATTTGGCTAGTGAGCTTGAAAATGTCTCTAAAGAATGGTGCCACATCATAACATCTTTTCACTCACCTCCAATATTCCCCATTTTATGAGGTTCTGTTTTATTTGATGATATGCGTGGATAGAATTGATCTTGCAAGCATCAGGTAAATGTCTTGTTAAAGTATTTCCAAATTCCAAACAGTTACTGCACTTGTTTGAGCCGGAATTGACATTTGTAAGACATATGAATATCCCAGCATTGTGTGTTTTCATTTTTAAAGGACCAGCATTATGTGCTTTAGTACTAAAATTCAAAAGAAAGGTGTCACCAAAAAAAATTGTCCTTGTTCAAGGTTAAGGAAGTCTTTGTGACTATATTAGTTTTGATCCAGCATAAAATTCATCGTGCAAGAAATAATGGTGATGACAAACAATTTGTTGGAGATTTATAAGGTAAATGGTGAACATGATCTATTTGCTTTGTCTTGAATGAGTTGCTTTGGTAAGATTGCTTTTATGTGGGTATCCAGATAATCTTCCATAGCAATTTATTTCTAGGGTAAAAAATGAGAACTTAAGTTACATCTACACATATATTAGAACGTACTGCATGGAAAATTATTCTTATGCATGCATGGATGGATTTGCAATGTAGGAAAAAGGATGTATAAGCATTTAGGAGAATCACAATTTGCAGAATCTTAACTTAGCTCACTTCCAGTGAACTGGCTTTTCAGATATTTTGGTTTTGACTTGTTAAATTAAAAGTTAAGGATATATGGAGATCAAATTAGATCTGTTTACTTTGTGTTATCTCATAAATTCCCATTATTTTGTAAGCACTCCGAATATAAGCTGCATCTTTTCTAATCACTTGCTATCTTCTGACAATTGTATCCAGGTTTCTTTTGGTGTCATTGGATTGGGTGTTGGTGTTACACTTCTCTCGTGAGTATACAACACTTTTATTCATTAAACGTATGCCTATTTAGAGTTTTCACTATAGGCAAGGTTAACGATATGATTCTCGCATAGAATCTAGCTGTTTTTACTGTAGTATTTTCCTGAACGGAGTTCCAGATATTCATTAATCTGTTGATAACATATCCCAACAAATCTAGAAAATCTTGTTTTGTAAAGTGTAAGAACGGTGGTGCCTTGAACTATTCAAAGTACTCCAGTCCCATGCACAAACAATGCTGGATGAGTAGACTATTGTGTTTTTTTCGGGTTGATGAAAAAAGATTCAGCTTGCTTTATTCTATGATGTTTTCAGCTAAAATTACCATAAAACTTGAACACCAACTTTCCCAAATACATCTAATCACTCTTTGGACAAGAGTTTTTCTTCCCTACCATCACCATCATCTATTCCTAGAAAGACGTAGTTGGAAAGAAAATAAGTTCTTTGCTCACTCGCCAAGCTAACTTTCAAGCGAAGGAGTTACTATCAGAAAACCTTGTCTGGACTATCTAAAATTGCATTTTGATATATGCAGCTGGATTTGATTTATGAAGTGGATATGAATGGAAGGGTTAGGGGAAGGATTTAAATAAGTCCATGCGACATGAATTTGGTTTCCACCCAAACAACCTAAAAACTAGTTTAAATTTAGAGCGTAGTGATCTGAAACCCACTGTATCCAAGTCAAATTCTGTTGATTGTTATTGTGGATTTGAGATTAGTTTCATTAAATCTATGATTTTAATAGCAAATTAAATCGAGAGTTACCAATTTTTGGTTGTGCTCCTACAGGTATGGTTTCGGTGCATACTTCAATATCCTTCCAGGATCTGAATGGTCTGCAATTATGCTAACCTATGGGTTTCCACTAGCAATTATTGGCATGGCTCTCAAGGTTACTCATCTTATCATTTTGAGTTGTATTTCCCCTGTTCTCAGACTAATCCTTGCTTGTGTGCTCCTTTTTACATGATTCTTGTATTCCCTAAGTTGTTGTCTTTTAATTTTGAATTGGCGGAATAAGGGGGTTTCCATTACTTTGTGAGCCAAAGAATTTAATAGTTCTTATTGTTGGCTTTTTCCTGAATCCTTCCATGGTTATTTTGGTTATGTTGTCTAGTATGCAGAACTTAAGCCTGTACCCTGCTTGACCTATTCGGATGCTGAGGCATTAAGAGAAAAATGTGCTACTCCAATTCTAAAGCAGGTATGTCTCGTTTTTATTCCTAAGTTTTCAGAAACAAATCTTTTTATTCTCTACGTGAAATGTGATTCCCAGTTAGTCTGCTAATTTCCTCTTTAAAAAATAATGATTGCATTTTGTGCTTTTTTGCTTTCTAGTGAAATTTAGCAATTCTTTGAGAATCACGTTGGAATCATTGTATTGTGTTTCCGGTTCAGTTACTCCTTATTGACTTTACTTTCAGAACTTTGCAGCCCAGGCTGTTCTGTTATTGATAGTGAGAGTGAACTAAAAGAAGAAAAAAAAGGAAGGTAAATTGATAGAGCAAATTGCAGGCGGCAGCTGCAATTTGATAGAGCAAAGGTAAAATTGAAAGAAGAAAATGAAACCTGAAAATGGTTATTTGAATGGAAAAATAAAGAAATAGGAAGAAAAATAAATAATTGCAGGCAAGCCTCCCCAAAGGCTTTTCAATAGCCCCACTCATCTCCTTATTCTGACCTAAATAAATAACAACTAAACTATGGTAATTGAAATATTGATTCCTAACAGTTATTCAATTCACACAACCAGTTTTTAAAAGCTGGCTCTTTCTATAGCAGTGGTCTGTCTAGTTCATGTTAATTTCTTTTCCAGCACATTAGAGATGCTCCATTATAAATTTTATTTCCAGCTCATTGAGCTTGAAAAAATCAGTGGATGCAACTTTGATGCTATTCATATATTTATACTGGTTCTTGATGTACGTCAGTAGTGTGGTACATACGTGAAAGTGATTATTCTTCTGTCGTGATTTTTCCATCATAAATCAATATTTATCATCTTCTTTAATTCAAATGCATATCGTGGTTAGACGAATAAGTTACCAGTGAGGTCCCATAAGTGTGAAACTTCTGGTTTTGGACTAGGAGGATGCTGCTTTTTTCAGAGTAACAAGGTAGAAAATGTTTTGTTCAGGACTTCGTCACAGTTTGTCTTTGTTTTATACTCCTACTGGGTGGTCATTTGGTGAAAATATCGTGGTTAGACGAATAAGTTACCAGTGATGTCCCATAAGTGTGAAACTTCTGGTTTTGGACTAGGAGGATGCTGCTTTTTTCAGAGTAACAAGGTAGAAAATGTTTTGTTCAGGACTTCGTCACAGTTTGTCTTTGTTTTATACTCCTACTGGGTGGTCATTTGGTGAAAATCTGGTAGAGTTACATTGAAATATTTTCTTTTAGTAACTCCCTGCATCCATCTTGATGCATTAGATTTTGAGGGAAACATTTTTCATGTAACGTAGAGCGTATTTTTGTTATTATTTTGATGGTGAAAGAGCATGCTTCTGATCCTCTTTTCTACTGTTACGTATGAATGAAATTCCATCTTATTTATTAGGTCAGAAATGATGTTACAAGATATCGTTATGGGGACGAGCAGCATCTTGATGAAGCATTGAAAAGGATTTTTCAATATGGGCAGGTAGGATTTTCCTTTCTTAAGTTATAAATATATTCAATTCAGGGCATAACAAAATCACCCAACATTGAAAAACGAAATGCAATTAGTTACACGATCTGTGTTAGGATTTTGGTTCTCCATACTGCTTGATATTGGTTTGGGTTTTAGTTGTGTAAAGTTTGAGAAAAGTATCAATGTAATGACAAAAGAATGAGGGGTTAGTGGTCCTTTTCACTTCCATGTTAAGTTTTAGCATTATGTTTTGTGCAGCCAAATATGAGATCAATGACATACTTCTGATTGTTGAAAACGCTCTGTTTAAGTAACAGAACTAAAAAATATGTAATTTAGACTAGAAGGTTTGGTTCATGCCATGAAAGAAACTCATCAGATTAAAAGATTGTATGAGGTATAGCATTGTTGTAATTTCTTTATGTGCAAGAGAGAGGCCTGGGATGCCAGGAATGCAGAAAGTGTTTCTTACGGCTGAATGGCCCACCAATTATGAAACTCATCTGCTGTACTATTTCTACAAATCGATTACTTAAAGATTACAACTTTTTAAAGAGAATTGCTAGTGTTGAAGAATTTTGAACAAGTCACCGTCCACCTTGCAAATCATATACCTACAGTTGCACTGTTATTCAACTTTTCTCAATTAGTCAAAATGTTGCATGTGAACCAGAGTCTTCCAGAGCCATTTGAAATTCATAAATTAAAACGTTTCGAAGCCATTATCTGTCCCACTTCCTTAACTTCTTGAAAAGACGTCTCATATGAATTCTTTTTTTCACTGTTCTTGCAGGGTGGAGGTATTCCCCGAAGGAGTGCTCCTATCTTACAAATGATTCGTGAAGAAGTATATTCTTTGAACTTAGCTTTGTTTTCTAATTATTTTATGCTAAATACTTTCCCAATATTAAGCTTTCTATTGTGCTATCCATTTTGCTATACTGTGTTTCATGGTTTTGATCACTTTGTTTTTTGGGAAAGTTGCTCTTGCTCCTACTTCAGTGCTCACTTATGTCTCTACTGCTTTGCTAATGATATATTATTCATATGCTTAAGATGACTGAGGATGGTAGATACTCTCTGATATTGGTATTTGAAGCTAAAGCTCTGCAGCTGTCAGATTTTGAACAGAGAAAAGTAAGATTAATTTTCTCTCGTGCAAGCTGATTTTTTGGGTAGATATGTCGTCTTCTCCCTCCAACCCAACAAATATAGGTTTCAATAGACTGCGTTCCACTTCATCAGTTCTTTTGCTTTCCATTGTACATTTGTTTCATGCACATTATTTTTTTTGGTAAACATTTAGTCATTTACTGATTCCATAATGCTA